AAATGACAATTGTAAGCATCTATATTTATCTATATATCTGTATTATATATATTTTGTAAATATATTATATCATATTATATACGATAAAAATTGTTTCTATATCATATTTTCTATATCATATTTTGTAAATATATTATATCATATTATATATAAGATAAAAATTGTTTTTATCTTATATATTATATTATATCGATACTAGTGTTGGTTTTTTATGAAGGGTGATTTGGTCCTCTAATAATATCATAACATGTGGCATCGTTGAACAGTAGAGTGACACCTCGGTACCATGAAAGCAAACTCCAGGAGCACTTCGGACAGCACCTCGAACCCACCTTGGCATTAACTTGGCAGGCCAACCTTTGAGTAGCTCAAATCTGGTTAGCGACCTACCCGATGTGGCGGGCGACCTCCTCCATAGTTGGGTCATCATCCCCAATTCCCTCAGGATCACGACGCCACGTCAACGAAGCTAATCTTCGCCTCACCCATTTCGAACGGAGCCAGATAAGCATTATCAACTTACGTGAAGTCCRTCTCTAAGTGCAAAACCACCTCCAGATCAAACGGGCAAGAGATCTTGGACACGCTTTGTGAGGCTCATGATAGCTTGCCTATATAAAGGCCTCAACTTCAACTTCACAAGGTACGCGCAATTTAGCTCTCACAGGTTCTAACTCTCTAGCTTTCTTGCTATCAAACATTAGTTCGCTAACTTAAGCATTGGAATGCCAACCCYAGGTAAAGCAACCCAGACACTCTGATCACTTCTTTCTTGTTGCTCAACCAAGGGAACTGGCAGATCATGCACCATCAATTGGCATCGCCTATGGGAAACGCTACACAAAAGCCTTATTCTCACACTCTCTCTCTAATTACAAGCTCAATGGCATCTTCCAGAAACAACCCCGTCAACAATGCACACATTGATGGAGCAGTCACAAGGGGGCAAGACTAGCACACCGTGCACATTGAGGTCCCTTCTATCACTATCGAGCAGTTCACTGTGCCCCTAACCCTACCAAGCATCCTTACCGTGCAGAATCCCAACCTCCCTCATCCCACCATGAACGTGCGTCTTCCAACAATCGAGCCCTCCATGGTTCCCATTGGGATTTATGGCTGCCAGTTTCATGAGATGGTGCAATTTGTCTACGGGATAAACCTGTAGATAAGAATGTTAGAAGGTCATTTTGC